ACCCAAATTTAGGGATGAAAAAGATGCGTATCTCCCTAAATTAAATTATTTTACTATTAAAGTAAAATAATAATGCTGTGACTAGAGATGAGAAACAGAAACAGCATGTGATCTCCGATCCCAAAGCTTTCTAACATAGTAAAAGAAACACTACTAGCTGAAAATAAAGGTTTAATAGAAACATGAAACACAGAATTTTTGCAATTCTTATTGGGTTATTTTTGTTGTTGTTAATTTGTTGGAGAAAGTGTTTCTCTATAGATCTGGATGACCTAGAACTTGCCATATAGACTGGTTTCAAACTCACAAAGCTCTACCTGAATTTGCCCTCTCAGACCTAGGTGTTAAAATGTCTGAATAGATTTATTTTTCAAAAGAGAAATACATACAATCATTTGGGTCTAGAAAATTCTAACGAATTATGACAAGCAACAGAAAAGAATTAGTGGGGAAGATGCTAATCAAAGTCTAACAAAAAATGTGGTGTTTATCCTGTACTTTTAAAAAATGAATATATTTCTTAAGCTGACAACATAGCCAAAAATATATTATTTTAAAAGATTTTTATTTATTATTTTTTTATATGCATGAGTGTATTGTCTGCATGTATGTAAATGCACCCGTGTTGTGCAAAGCTGGCAGAGGTCATAAGGGGGTGTCGGAGACCTTGGAACTGGAGTTAGAGATGGTTGTTAGCGGCCATATAGGTGCTGGGAATGGAACCTAGGTCCTCTGCTAAAACAGCCAGTGTTCTTAACTGCTAAGCCATTTCTCCAGCCCCACAAAAAATATATTTTAATTTTAATGGAAAACTTGGGATATATAGCACAATATAGATCACTACTAGACCATGTAAGAGAGTGAATGGGGGCAGGAGGGAGGGACAGTGGAACTGGAGGTGGGAATCTAGTTCAGGAGAGGAATCAGTATTGAAGAAATCATTAGGATTTACCAACTCAGAATTTGATGCTGGAGCAAGATAGACGTGCTTACAAATCAAGTGGCTAGTTACTATGTATTGATAGATTGTTCCCTGTTGTTTTGTTTGTTTGTTTTTTTTTGTTTATTTTAAGGAAAGGTCTCCTTCTGTGGCTTGAAACTAGTAATATAACCCAGGCTTGCTTCAAATTGACCATCAGATGCAGCTTGCCAAGTTCTGGGATCGCAGACATGTATCACATCATCAGTTATATATCAAATGTGAAGATCATTTAGGAAGTGTTTTCTGTTAATGGATCAAAGAGGAAATAATGATGTTCAGTTGGACATTCTGATGTCCGGTGTCTAGGAGCACTGGGAAATTTAGGTCTGGTTCTTAGGAGGGATGATGTGGTCTGGCTAACCACAGTGAAGTGTGTCTTCATAGGTAGCAGAGTGAAGCCTTTGGAAGAAAAATAGAATTTAAGGGACAACTTGGCTAGGACAAAAGGGAGAAGCAGAGTGGAATCACTTCCTTCTGAATACAAGAGGAAAGAAGCCTGCAAAAAGAGACTGTGTCATAACAGAATTGTTTAAAAACGGAAGCTACTTAGGGATCACAGATTCAAGAGACTGGGTAGAGGGCTATGAAATAAATACTGCTGATCAATAAGGGAGCCAACTCTGCCCATGAAGGAACTTTGGCACAGTGAGAAAGCACAGAGTTAGCCTGCAAAATTTCTTCGATGGTTAAAAATGGAGGCAGCAAGTAGAGGTTACCTTTTCAAGAGCCAGCAGTAAGGTGGTGACAGTTAGCATAGGTCATGGAAGTATCCATATCCAACAAGGAAAGTGAACATCCTCCAGTCACACTAAATCAGTGTCTGAACATTTAAACATTAATTTATTTTAAAAACTGGTAAAGCAAAAGTAGTAGCAGGCATGGCAACTTCCCCCCTAATCAGGGAGCAAGAAAAATGGGTTTTATCTAAGAGATACTTTTTTGTTGTTGTTATTTTTATTTTATGTGTGAGTGTACTGGCTGCATGTGTGTAAGTGTACCCACGTTGTACAATGCCCCCGGAGGTCAGGAGAGGCTGTCAGACCCCATGGAACTGGAGTTACAGATGGCTGTTAGCCAACATGTGGGTGCTGGGTACCGAACCCAGGACCTCTGCAAGAGCAGCCAGTTCTCTTAACCTCTGAGTCATCTCTCCAGCCCCAATATTATCTCTTACAAACAAAACTCACATTTGTAAAACATTAGTGAACAGAGGTAATTCAGTAATTATAGTCAGCTATAAGCATATTTATTTATTTTGAATTAAAAGACTGTAAAATGGACAAGCTCCTAAGTCCTGACTTCCCTTTCAAAACTTCAAATGTCATCTGTGAACCTGGGCTGAGCTATCCAAGGGAGAAAGGGCCCACCACAACTTTCCCAAAATATCAGGAAAAGCATGCTACTTATTTTTTGAAATGTCAGTAAAGTATGTTGCCCCATTCTCCCATTCTGAGTCTTTTTGGACAGATGCACCTGCTGAGTTAACACAAAACTTAACTTCCTTTAAAAATAATGAGGATATTTAGGAAATGGTTTTCAGTTGGTATAAGAATACACAGGTAGTAACCGAAATGAGTCAGAATCACAAAATCCTTGAAACTAACATTTAACATTTGGAGGGGCTGTAAAAATAACAGAACTCTCTCTTTTTTTTCAGAACTCCAAGAAAATTATTGCTGAGTTAACACAAAACTTAACTTCCTTTAAAAATAATGAGGATATTTAGGAAATGGTTTTCAGTTGGTATAAGAATACACAGGTAGTAACCGAAATGAGTCAGAATCACAAAATCCTTGAAACTAACATTTAACATTTGGAGGGGCTGTAAAAATAACAGAACTCTCTCTTTTTTTTCAGAACTCCAAGAAAATTATTAAATGGTTATATGTGAGCTATGTGTGTGCTACATGTGTTTGTATGTGTGTGTGTTGTGTGTATTTGTATGTGCATGCTGTGTGTGTTTTGTGTGTGTGTGTATGTGTGTGTGTGTTTGTATGTGTTTGTGTCTGTGTGTGTGTTGAAGATTAATATAACAAGCCTTATAGTCAACCAAATAAACGAAACAGCTGGAAGGACTCTAAGTCCCCCATCCTCCACTCTGCATGACCTCCAAGGGACGTCAATAGCATCTTCTACAGCAAATGGTCATCACTTGATACTGCCAAATTCTGATTCAACACTGCTCATAGGGTTTACAACAGGATCCATATCTTTAAAAGTAAAATCTACCCTACAATTTCTGTGGTTTCCTAGATGGAAATATCCCTCTTTATTTTCTTCTGAACAATTCAATTACCTCAAGAAATTGAGAATCACTGATGATATCCTGACTCCATGATGTTTTAATGGAATATTTTTTTCACTATATGCAGTAAAGAGAAGTTTTACATCCACTTTTTTCTGAACTTAGACTGCATAACAATCTGCACAGTAATTATGGCCAGCTATCTTGTCTAAAGGTTGAGCTACTTTAATGGCATTGAGAGATTTAAATTCACAGATTCGCTGATTTGTGAACTATGTGGCTTCCGTCACAAGGGAACATATGGTAGACTTCCACTGCTCAGGAAAGCAGCCAGAAGAATGAGACAAGTCAAAATTAGGATGTGTTATATAGAGTACTCAGCATGCACGACTCACAATGCAAAGAGGAATGGAACTATCTCACAGGTTTTCTATTAATAATGTCACTAGGAGAATATTTTTAATACTGTGATCAAATTTAATTTGCCTTTTTAATATGGCTACTGAGACATTTAAAAGAATACATGTGGCTTCAGCTACAAAATGTAATTTAATGTGAGTACTCTCTAAATATTAAAAACATCAGGGCATACTTACAGTCATAAGATTACAGTGGACCTGAATAATTTTATCCTTGTTTTTACTATGGGCTAGAAATAAATAATAACAGAAAACTACTGAAATTCCTTGGTGCTACCATTATTATTTTGGAGGAAGAGTTAGACTAACATACGACAAAGTGAAATAATGTCTATTTCAATTACAATTGTAGAATACAGAACAGTCATTTCAACTAAAAGACATTTTAAAAGAAATGCAATGGAATACAATCTATGTTAATTTCATTTATCTATTATAAGTTTCATGAATATAAATGATACAAAATAAAAAGATTTTTAGTAGAATTTTATGAAGAACTCATCTTCAATTACAGAAATAAACATCTCTCAGGCTAAACAATCTCTGAAGAGGGACACATTAGTCCATCAATTCTTTTACAGGATTTGCAATGTTAGTTTATAGACTTTCTGTGAAGGATATCTAACTAAAAAAGTTAGTGATTATAGCTGAGTTATAACTAAGTTTAGGGAATAGAAAATTCTATGACAATGGAAAAATCAGAAGACAATGTAACACAGTCATGGATTGTATCTGAATCAAAATTAGTGCTACTTACTAACCAATCACTTGACAGTTTTAAGCAAAATTACCTATCTGTACATATGTTATGCCTATTTATCCTTGTAAAGTATCAAGATGTCTCTGATTTTCGTCAAAATATAATTTAATGTAATTTAGATATATATGAAGGTTGATTGAAAAATACAGACAACAGTTTAAACAATTATCATTTTGAGTTTATGAAAGATTGTTGTGAGATCTACAAATAATATTTGTCAGTAGAACTGATGGGAACATGATCCTCCCCTTCAAATAACTCACGACTGTGGCCTGATCAGCATACTGAAGGCTCCTGAGTAATATAAACAAGAGGACTGAACAGCAACGAAAGAGGAAAGCAGCAGCCAGAAGTGATTACCAATTACATCAAACAGTTTACAACAACATTCATAGAAATATGCATATGTGTGCCTTGCACATACCCACATACACATATCTCTACACGGATGTGTAAGGAGGGAGGGAAATGGAGACAGCTAGCACTGTGGACAGGAGTGGATACACCTGTGAGACTCACATGACACAAAACAAAGTGAGTGAAAAAATATCACTGTACAAATGATAAGAAATTCAGAAAGTCTTTATTTTATACCTTTCTCGTTCTGGTGAATGCAAACTAGTATCTGGTCTCAAGCAGTTGGTACTAGCACTCCTAGCCCTGTCAAGGGAGGGCTGCAGTTCACTAGTGCCAGTGCATTGCATCCAGTGGTAGAAGAGAAAGACAAAGAAAACAAAGAAAGGAAGACCATGTTAGAGAGTAAAGCATAAAATAATGTTCTCTTTACACAAAATGTCGAATCACTGTGATTCAGTTCATAAGGGTGTGAGAGAGCCACAGGATGACAGTGTAAAATTTTGTTTAGAAAATGAAACTAAACAAATATTATGCTTAAAGTGTTTTGCATAATTTTTTAAAAAGAATCTCAGACTGAAACATGACACTAAATCACACCTACTTATGAAAAAACTGGATACAGGAAGCATTAAAAACAAAATGCCTAAAACTTCATTACCAAGAATAGATGCCACACCAAAACAAAATGAAGGACATCAGAAGGGAGATAATCATACCACTGGACTCTTTGGGTTCACAGCACTAGACAAGGGACATGGAAGACATCACTTCCAGACACTTTTACCTAACCAATACCTCATCAGTAAATCTCAGCACTCCTGAGTTACAGCATTCATGCTGAAAGGATGTCCTATCTAGTCACTGGTTTGGTCTTTTGTATGTGCAGGCAGGATAGAGCTCCACAAATTAAAATCACACACAAACAAAACAAAATGAAATTAAACACAGTTGTTACAATCAACAAGTAAAGCAATTAAATAATAAACATGTAGAACTCTGACATTTGAATTAGATATTGTTTACAGAATTATTCAAGAACATGCTAGTTTTATAATTAAAGCAATTTTGGATACCATTATTTTGATGTTGTTCACTGTGTAACTGAAAGGATAAGGAAAATATTTTTAAGAATGTAACATTTTATTGTTAGTAGGCTGGGGATTGGGGTTTACTTTACACAGAGCTCACAGCTGTGGCTCTTACCTCTTCATCCAAAGATAGTTGTTCTGTATTAAAGACACCTTGGGTGGTAATGTTTTATAGTGCCTAACAAGAGATCTGGAACGTAGCAACATAAACACAAGAAACAGAAAAATATGAGGCAAATTTGACTAAGACATTAAAAAAGTAGTAGGTCTATATAAAGTAAGGTAGATGGAGTTTTGTCATTTTTCTCAGAAAAAGCCACATGAATTATTTGAAGGCAAGATTAGACTGAATGAAATATGAAATCATATACATGTGATTTCATAATATTCTATTGTATTTTGAGTATATAATTACAAGATAATCATCTTATTTGGGAAAATGTCTGATAAGTAAATTCTGAGAATTATTAACCAACATTGAAATTAGTACTAATCCCTGGTTTAATATTATGCTTCCCATACAGAACTAAATAACTCAGTGTTGAAATTACAAATCCAGTATGTCATGTAATTTTAAAGTTAACATAAGGCTAAGTTAACATTAGGTTAATATTGAAAAAGCATTGATTTGGCCAGCATTGGAGGGAAATATTGACAAAGAGACTTGATTGATACAAACAAAGGAACAAAAACACTCAAAAAGTGATTTCAGAGGAGCAAATTCTTTCTACCTTTCAGTTTCTGGATCCAGTACCAATCAGAGGGGAAATTTACCATCAGAACTTAGGTGATGTGGGTATCAAATGTAAACCAGAATATGAATTTTAGTTGCCAAGAAATGGTAGAAACATGATGCAATTTTGCTTGAGTTTGTACAAAACATACCAGGGCTTCTGATTTGTCCTATGAAGGGTAAAGTACATCTGGTCAGTATTTTGAAAATTTAATAATATTCTATTTTGTTAATTGCTAACTGTGAAAAGTCATCACAAACTTTAGCTTGTCAGAAAGTATGATGAATAAAGGAAGAAAAGATAATTTACCAAAGGCATTAAATAGCAAATGTACTACCAGTTTAATTGTGATAATGCTAATAGTCAAATCAAGGGAAACCCTTTAAATTTTCAGTTTTGAAAGATTTGGATTTCTATTTTTGGGCATGCATTAAGGGAAAAAAATACTGCTTGTTTAATATTTTCCTTTAATCGCCTAACCTCTGGCAAATAGTCTTTAATGGTAGGTTTCTCTAAAACCTCTAAGGTATTGCCTCAAAAATTAATTTATTGTAGGAACTTTCTAACAGGACTTTTACAGGACATCAGAAACAAAACAGAAAATAGCATAAAATCGACAGTACAGATACCTTGGCTTTACAATATTCTGACTGAGAATTAGAAAATTCAGGTCAAGACTCTGGGCGTATTTCTATATCAACAAAATGAGAGAAATAACATCTACTCACCAAAGTGCTGAAAGAATTAAGTAAACAATGTATAAGAAATATCTAGGGCATGGTCAGGCAGCATTTTCTACAGATCACTACTGACTGAGAAATGTGTTATGAAGAATATTTTCTAATAATTGTTAGAAATGGGTTAATATAAATTAGATTTTTAGTGCTTTAGATTTCTTTAATATGCACGCAGATTTTAATTTGTAAACTTTCTAAGCTCTATTTAAGTCCCAATCTCACAGAACCAACTGCTACATTCTGTGAAAAAAGATTAAAGTAAGTTTAGTACATTGCATTTTGAAAGCTTTTCTTAACATTTTAGCCATAAAAAATAATAAAGATGTTAAATTTCTAAAATTTATATGAAATCAGATATTATTTATATATCATACAAAGATGGGGTTACATATGTGTCTTATTTCATATATGCATTTATTCAAATGTAGGAAAAACAATACATGACTACAAATTCAGAAGACATTAGAAACTCATATGAGAACAATTATTTGTGCTGTGTCTTCTCTATCCTAAATATTTGTCCACGAATATTAAGGTCTAAAGCAAAGGGAAATTTTTTAAAAAATTGTGGAATAAAAAAGTAGGTATTATAGTTACGGTTGTAATAAAAAGTACAATCAGCAACTGAGCAATCTGTTTAGTTGAATGATTACTACTACTGTTAAAAAGATAACAAGAAGGGAAGAAGACAGAGAAAAGCCTTGTGACACCTGCAATTCATTTGTGCATTTAACTGGTTTAACTGTCACTCCTACATTTTTGGAGGTAGCAGTCAACAGCTAGCTGATCTCCCTCAGCTGATTGTTTACCTATGTTTATACAATATACATATAAATTAGATTAATGTCCTCTATCAGGCACTGAAAAGTCATAACGTTGATTCTCTCAAACAAACAAGGTATACGGAGTTCAGAATTATTGGTGGGGGGAAACATTCAATATTAAGAGTAAGATTATAAATGATGCAATTGTTAGCATGTCATTTATTGCAAGCCATGTTACTTCATCTTGAGAAGTACAACATGAAGAAATGAAAACACATGTTCTATTTAAAGATTCTTTTTGAAATTTATGTGTCTATGTGCAAGGGGGGGGCAGCATTTGTAATGAGTGCAGTGCCTGCAGAGACCATACGAGGTGTCAGATCCCCTGCAGCTGTAGTCACAGGAGGTTGTGAGCTGCCAGACATGGGTGCTGGGAGCTCGACTCAAGTCCTCTGCAAGACCAGTATGTGCTTTTAACCTCTGAGCCATCTCTCCAGCCCCAATATCTGTCCTCTATTTAGATTTCAATGTGAGTATCCTAGAGTCACACATGGCATGCCAAGCACACACCAGGTTCCTCAATAAATATGAAAGTGTGTGCATTTATTTATTTTTCTTTTTTACTAGCTGTAGCTACACTGACTAAAAAAAAAAAAAAAAAAAAAAAAAAGGAGAAACCTCACAGAATTCATAAACAAATGACTGCTACTTAGAAACTATTCGCCTGGAAGAGAAGCTTAAAGGCTAGACAATAATAAATAATTTGAGGTAACTTAAAATATTTATCATTTTGTATTTTTTAGAACTAGTAGTTCTTCACTTTTTTCCTCTGTGGTACTGCAGCATAAACTCAGCAGTCCTTAGCAGATAGATGATTTTAGAATGCTCGCTAACCTCCTCATATTCAGCTATCTGAGCAGAAAATCACATGGTCCAGAGTACCTTAAATCCTGCAACTGCCTCTGCATCCCAGTTGGCACTTATATTTCTTTCCTTTTCACTTGTGTTAACGAAAATATTATTATTTTTATTTTATGTGTATGAGTGTATTGCCTGCATGTTGGTAAGTGCACCCATGTCGTGCAATGCCTGCGAGGACAGAAGAGGCCATTGGATCCCCTGGAACTAGAGTTACGGACAGTTGTTAGCTGCCATGTTGGTGCTGGGATTCGAACCCAGATCTTCTGCAAGAACAACGAGTGTTCTTATCCGCTGAGCCATCTCACCAGCCCCATTAACTAAAATATTATACTTGGAAGAATTTGTGTTTGTTTCACTGACTGCTTCTTTATCTTCCATGAACTTAAATTGAGAACAATCTAGGAGTAATCTGTAACAAACTACTTTTTTCAGATTTGAAATTTAAAATCAGATACTAACATAGTGTTGTGCTTTAAGCCATGCTCTACATGGAATATTATATTTTGCTTCTCCTAATCTATATCTTTATCTGAAACTTTGTTTCACAGCATTTCTGAACTGGTAGCAAGTGGAGAAGAAGGAACCTGAAACTCAGTCATTAAAAATGAAGATTGTAATAAAAGCAGACAGAACACCATAACATAAACAAGAGCAGATTCCAAAGGAAAACTTTTAAAAGGCTAAAGTAACAAAACCATAGTCATAAAAGCAATAAGCTGCCATGCACAGAAGATCAGAACCCTGTGACTAGACAGGTATTTAAGTCCACGGGTGGAAGGGAGATGCTTACAACGGGCATTCAGAATTTAAATTGCAGAAACTGGTTCCTCAGTTTTGTTAATGTGCAAACAGTTTCAAAGAGGCTTGCCAATCTCTAGATTATTGAATTTACTGGTAACAGAAGGAGTTGGCTTGGAATAGAATTGAAATCTAATTGAAAACTTTTGTATAGCCTCCATATGAAACAATACAATTTTAGAATGCTTGGGGAAATTGGATTTGTAATAATACTAAGGGAGAGATGGAGGAACAGCAGAATGGAAAGATCATCACACACAGTCACCATCACCAAATCCCTGTATTTACCTGGTAGTATGTAGGCATTCTGCACTTCGTCCTCGTTTTGCTCTGGGCAGCATAAGAAGCTCACTGCACAGACAGGATGGGTGGTGAGTGGAACAGATAAATCATGAGGCATCAGATGACATGGATAATGCCAATGGTATGCCAATGAGAACATGGAAAGGGAAGAAACCAGATTGTCTGCACTAGCATATTCGCTTGAGAGGTTAAACAAAAATAAACATGACAGCATTAAAAATTTAAACAATAGAGTGCAAACATTACAGTTGAAGGCCTAGCTGTCTCTGATTGCTACTTAATCCTTCTAAACAATTTTGTTAAACATAGAAACAAAAGAAAAACACTCTTTCTTCTCATAAGGTATAGGAATACATTTCCAAGTATTGTCATTTCAGCGATTAAAATGCATAAGTTTGACCTTGCAGATATTAATGGAAACTAAATGTTTTTAGTCCTTTTTTTTTTTTTTTAGCAATTTAACATGATCATTTCTTTGGAATTAATGTCCACTTAAAATGTAATATATTATGCTTTCCATAATCAACTAGGGACATATTTGACTAGGATTTTTTCTTTTAAAATCAATAATTTTTCTATGACCAAATAATTTTCGCTATACTGATTACCTTGGTCAAGTAGCCCTTTGTTCCTTGTCTTTTCACTAAAATTCACAGGGGCCTAGATGAACAATGACCCAGCAGTCCTCACTCAGCTCTGCAGAGCAGTCTGGAATCCTAGTCCTTAGACGAACTCCCTGTCCCAGAATCCAATGTGATTCACTCTTGAAGGTCATGGTAGCACTTCCCATAGTGAACAAGACACTCAACTTGGGAACTGCATCCTTGACTTCATCACATCAATCATTCAGAACCATTATCATATGTTCACCCCTCAATGAAATTTCTTCTACTCCAAAAAGCCAGAAGAGAACATTCAATCAGGTGGGTATTATTAAACAGTAGATCAGAACCTATTTAGGGTTAGGATAACAGCACATGTGACATATGGTCATGTAGAAAAGCAGGTTCGTAATATAGACTTCCAGTAACTGTTTCCACAAATATTTGTTCATAAATAAACACCATGCACATATCCATGTAAGAATCCACCTCAGCATATTATATTCAACAGAGACATCCATGGGAAGATACTTGATTTAAAAAAAAAAAAAGTAAAATACCTAACAAAAGCATTATTGACGTTCTCACAGAAACTCTGCAGTAGTAATTACCTTTCAGATAATCATTATCTAAAATATTTAATTATGCAAACAGCATAGTTTTTCTATTTACAAAAACAATACCCCAAACACACATGGGAAAACTCAGAATTGTTCATGAAGGCTTCCTTCTCTAATTTGGGGTCAGTATTTAAGTTAATGAAACTATGAACCATGTTAGGTATGACTCTAAATAATATGTATTTTAATGTAATGTTGGCCAAATACCTTCCAGTGTTGCATTTCTATTAAAATACCTAAACTGTTGGAGAGAAGTTCAGTTTTGAATCATGTAACAACTCTGTAATATATAATAATATTTGTGTATAATAAAACAGAACAAAGAAAAGTTTTTATTATTGAGATCATAGTTTTAAAAAGTACCTGTCTTGTTCTGATAAATACTGACTATCCACATCTCTGGATCTATGATCAACTGGACTTCGGGAGGCATCATGGTGTCTGGTTGGAGAACGTGACCTTCGTGTTGGATGAATTTCATCTAAGCTCCTAAAATGATAAAATCCATGTGACAATGTGTATCAAGTTCCCCAAGTAACCACCATACTAAGGGAAAGGAACTGACTGTAACTGGCAAACATAAAACATGGGTCAAAATTGTTGGCATCATCCACAACCTATTTTAGTTGATGAGTTAAGAATATTTATTCTCGGGGCTAGAGAGATGGATCAGAGGTTAAGAGCACCGGCTGTTCTTGCAGAAGACCCAAGTTTGAATCCTAGCACCCACATGGTGGCTAACAACCAGTTCTAGGGGAATCTGACAACGCCCTCGTCTGTCTTCCGTGGGCACTGCACAACACATGTAGGCAATACACTCATACACACAAAATACAAGTAAAATGAATTTTTTAAAAAAGAATATTTATTTTCTCCTTTGCCTACACTGCATGTTTCAGAATTTTCTCAACATTGTTTTATGTTTTCTTATGTTTTAATAAAGGATCAGAATTTTCATTGCATAATTACAACTGCGGAAGTGCATTTAGGGTGAGATGAGATAGAACAGCATGTTATACCGTTAAAAAAAAAACAACAAAAAAAAACCTTCTTCTCTTGACCTCACCCTGTTTCAGGAAATTTTTGTTGGTGTTTGGTTCTTTCTGTTTTGTGTTTTGCAAGGCTGGGATTTGAAGTTAGGGTCTTGTGCGTGATAAGCAAGAACTGTGCTTACAAGTGTTAAAATTCCTCCAACTTGATCAGCTAGTTATTGCAGTTATCCATTGTGGAAAGTTACACTGTAATATAAAAAAAATGCTGTCAAGAACATTAAGCCTGTTCCAAGCCTACCTCTGTAATGGCACATTTGGTAAACGTGAGCGTGGCCTTCCCTGATCATCGCCGCGGTGAGGAGACACTGAGCGGGAGCGGTGATGAGTTGTTCTTTGTTGTTCCGGCACTGTTAATGTTGTTGATTTACTTTCTCTAGCACTAGATCTATAACCCACTGACAAGAGCACACACGAAAGGATTGTTAGTATACTGTTTTACAGCAAAAATTAACACAGAACTATGAAATTATATCGAAGCAGCCATCAATTTTCTAATTTTAAGTGCCATGCAATCAGTATTATTAGCCTTATCTTCCAAAGCTTTGAGTATATGTGCATAAAGTATAAGATTAGCATGCAGAAGATGTTGAAGTTAGACTCAAAACTACCAGAGAGATACTAAACATTAACAAGACAACTTATGCCTCAGACATTAGGATGAGTAGGGGCACAGTTTTAATTGAAACAATGATTGAGTTAATGACTTTCAGCAACATAAATCAAGCAGTGAAATTACAGTTAATGTACAAATCAATGTTTAAATTTTTATGTTTCTTTAAATTTAATCAATTGATTTGAATTGTCCTTTTATTCTTTTCTTTCTGGTGTACTATACACATGTACATGAGTTTCTGTGTATGTATATGTATATACATGTATTTGTGCAGGTACACACGTACTAGTATGCCTGTGAGTGTGGAGGGAGGTCAGAGGTCAACATCAAGTATTTCCCTCTCTTGCTCTCTACCCTGTTCTTTGAGACAAGTTTCTCACTGACCCCAGAGCTCAATGATTCAAAGACTAGCAGGCCAGTGAGCCCCAGGAATCGGCCTGTCTCCACTTCCCTAGCTCTAGGATTACAAGCACACACCACCTCACCTGCCTGGCCTTTGATGGGGACAGTCAGACCTGAACTCAGGTCACTGTGCTTGTGTAGCATTTCACTGACTAAGCCATCGCTTCAGATCCTGAATTGTTCTTCTAAAGGATAAATTATTTAGTTGTATTACAAATGTAGTCACTAATTACAGAAATGAAGATATTCTATTAATTTAAAGGAAAAATGAAGATTCTCCATTATTTATTTTAATTGACAAAGAGGAGTAGCAGATCTACATTGTACAATTATTGATTATGAATTTTGCAGACATAAATAATAGTACTTCAATTTTCAGGGGCATATAGCATATGAATGAAAATCATTATGAGAATAAAGCAGGAAAAACTAACACTAAAGGGACCAAATCTGTCAAAATATCTAAAACTCCTCCAGTATTGTTTGCTTTTACCATCACTAAATAAATACATTTAATTTAAATGCAATTAAACATGAATTGTAATGGTCATTTCTCACTTGGATATAAAGGTATGTATTATGCCCAATTTGGTACACATAAGACATAAAAGTGGTTCCTTTACAATTGTCATTATTTTGTATTAGTTTAAGGAAAATGAAAAATAATATGTGATGAGAGGAAATAGTACTCTTTTTTAAATATTTAATTATTTTTATTTTATGTGTATAGGTGTATTGCCTGCATGTATGTGACTGCACCCGTGTTGTACAGTGCCATGGAGATAAGAAGAGGGCTTCAAAGGATGGTTTGTAGCCGCCATGTGGGTGCTGGGAATCGAACCTGGGTCCTCTACAAGAGCAGTCAGTACTCTTGACCACTGAGCCATCTCTCCAGCCCCGGAAGAAGTACTCTTATAACTACATGAAAAGTACATGAACCATGATAACATTAACTGGGTAAGTCAAATTATTGTCCATATTTTATTTGATAGATGTTACATAATTTAAAAAATATGTCAGCAAACATCATTTTTAAAAGCAAACAGCTTCCCTACCAGTCTGATGTGACTGTGTCATATTAGCCTAAACCAAAGTATGGGAAAGATTTTTAAAGAAGTTCATGTTTTGCTAAACTTTATTTGCCTTATGTATCTTTAGATAACCTTTTAGAGCTATGTATCAGACCAAGGAAGTATATATCTAAAACAATAAAGTAATTGCATGATTTCCTTTTTACCTAATAAAGTGACATCTAAAACATAAAACACTACTTATTGGTTATATGTTATTATCATCTATTATTAAGTTATGTTTATTAGATTTACAATGCTAAATAAAACAAATAATCCTAGTTGAAAAACTGAAGCATTGATTTTTGCATAATGAGGATGATGTGTGGTGTCAAACACTTTGACAAATATATTTGAGTATTGGATAGAAGTAAGTATATTTTGTTTAGGCGGTGTGTGGTGTGCATTGCCCAAACATTAATTGCTTGAGTACTTTATCCCATAACTCATGTTGACATATCAGAAGTTGACATGCATGTTATATCTTAGAGAAAGAAAAAGAAGAAACTTATTGTTTTAACAAATGTTTGTAACTGATTATTTATTCATCCGACACTGCCTCATTATAAAAATATGGAAAAGGTGAGCACAATGTGAAGAATACCCACAGAAGTGAATTTTTTTACCTAAGTTGTTAATAACGTTAGGACTGATCAATAGCCAAGAATTTTTTGATGATCTGAACAGCAACTACTTTATTACTGTGAATTTGAGACTGCCAGAGTTTTAAATTTATAATTATTTTTAGCAATTCAATTTCATTAAAATGCAATTTTATTTTATACGAAAGGTGTTGTTAAGAATATACTATGGTTTTTTAAAACCTAAAAACAGTAAATAGGGAATGTTTTTCATATATTATTATTTAATTTATGTGTATGAGTATATTGCCTGCATGTATGTGAGTGTACTTGTGCTGTGCAATGCCCTCAGATGTCAGAAGACATCACTGGATCGCCTGAACTGGAGTTATGGATGGTTGTTAGCCACCATGCGGGTGCTGGGAAACGAACCTGGGTCTTCTGCAAGAGCAGCTAGTATTCTTAAACACTGAGCCACCTTTCCAGCCCTGAGAACGTTTTTCTTTTCAAAGCTTTCAATGATATTCCAATATCAAAGAGTACTTAAGATTTAATTGTGCACAGAACTGAGTTATTTCAAATATATTTATTGTATCACACATTATTATCTTCCCTGAAAGATAGAAAGTAGACCTGATTTTAGAAAACTCCATAATTTGATCTCACCTTTCAGAAAGTTCCATGCATCATTCCAAATTGTGATCTCACTTACTAGTGTAGAAATTTATCAGTTTTACTAAAATCCTCCTCCTCCTCAAATTATGTGCAACAGCAGAGAAGATACTACATAAACTAAAGACACATGTAAATGTTAGTCTAAGGAGCTGCTTGAAATCATTCAAGTTTAAGTATCCGAGGAATGTCTACTTTCATTCTCATTTGAACATTTACTTCCCTTTTAATGATTAAACAAAGGAAACCAAATAGGAATAATGCCAAAAATGGAAGCCATTGGTCCTTGATTATATATACTTTCCTGACAAAAATCAGATGAAAAATGTAAATTTGAACGTTAAAATGCCACAAAAGTTTTGCCACCTTATACAAAGACAAAAAAATATACACTTCAAAGAAATATCGACTCTTTCTTGAGCATTTTCTCATTTTAAAACACACACACATTGTAGGTGTAATACATACTGAACACATCACAGAAGCATTAAAAGCTACAGCCATGCTACATGCAGCTTTGAACCCTGCCATGCACCTTTCTCAGTATATTCCATGGAAGGCTACAGTATTTAGAGAAACGGAGGAAGGAAAATCGTAGAAATACAAATATAAAACACGAGAGAATGGAATTTTACATAAAGAATTAAGGCTATCCTTTCAGAATGAAATCCACATTTTCACAAATGCTCAGAGCATTGTAAAATTATGATTTTTGTTTCTCCTACTGAGGCACACTTCTAAGGAAGGTCCTAACTATATTTCAAGTAAATAAGGATGTGAATTCACAGATGCTAGTCCATTTTATACTTTCTTAACAATTTGAAGCATAAGTCACCATGGAATAACATAATACTGATTTTTCTGCAGTATAGACCTCCAGTTCAGTGTCCTGAACAAGTCTGAAGTTGACAGTGAAGACAAGCAGAAACAGTAAAGCAGAGCCATGCTCTTTGCCCACGCACCTGGAGGAACTACTCCAATACCATCATCAACCTCATAATCTGAGATGTCACTATCACTGATTCGCTGAGATCCTGCACAATAGTAAGGCAAACAGATACCTCTGTGTCTGCTTGGTTTGTGACATGGAAAGGACACGGTTGAACAAGAACAATTCAAAGTAAACACTGAGCTAAATTTTAAAGAAACACGCTTGTTCTTGAAAGATAATCCTTTTCAGAATTTACTCCTTATACTGTTACACAGAAGGATCATGATCAAGTAAGGTTTTCACTTTATTTTATCCTTCATTTTGAATGCCACACTGAATGCAAATGGCAATGTTTGTATACTTTTCCACATAGCTAAGTGGCCACTGAGGGCATAGGATGGGCTGAGGAAACAGGTTCAAAGACCTGTCTTGACTACAGCTTGGTGAACTCATCGGCTAAAAGGCATGAAGGCCATATTGAGATACACATAGCTATTAGCTGTTAAACTGCACTGAACATTAATTTTGAGAAAATAGTTGATGCCAGAAACACTAGCAAGAGATAGTCAATGATAAGGCAAAAAAGAAAATCGATTCCAGATTATCAAAATGAAGATTCTAAGTTTCAGCTGTTGGGCCACACATTTACTGAAATTCATAAATTAGAGAAAAAGGATTTTCCAAATCAACTCACAAACAATAAAAGACTTATAATACCATGTTTTAAAATACATATTTCTTACGAATAATAATACTCAAAAGTACCCTAATGATTAAACTACTAAGACCTCATTTGTAACAACCCATTAGTGAAGACAGAAATTATTCCCTCAGTCACCCCCCCCATGTAAACATTTTCATTTGGAGATATTTGTCATCTTTAATTCTTCTATGTTACATATACCATGTTATGGTGAAAATGCAGAAGATGGTTTGCCTGAATTTCTTTACAGAGATGAACAATTTTCGGGCACTCTGATCTACAATAAAACTTTGAAAATATATCTTGAATGGTAATCCTTAATGGAGTATGGCAACGTCATTACTTTCTGATAACCAAAATGAATTTAACCTACTTTGTAGCTTTTTGCTGGAGCTTTCTCCGTGAAGATGCCGCCGTGGCATGAATGGCGATGGTTGAGGCAGAGGTAGTGAGGATTCATCATGTGTCTGGAGTTTGTACCAGTGGGGTTCATCGTCTAAAAGTGCTGTCTCCAATTCTATGAGGATCTAAAAAGGCAGTTCTTAAATCAGACATCTTTCCCAAACAATGTGAAAGGACTCATGGCTGATATGCATGGGGGAAAAAACGAAACAAACAAACAAACAAAAAACAAAAACCAACAAACGGCAGCAAGCATTTGACTTGAATCTTTACACACTACCTCTCCGAGAAATTCGCTTTCTTCATCTTGTACTCTCGGTTGATCCCACACCGTTATTTCTAACATTCGCTCTCTAAAATCTCTACGATGTACATGTGAATAGACAAAGGTTTGATTCCATTTTGGTTCTAGAATTTTCTTTACTGTTTTGGTTCTTCTTTTACTTTTATCACTGAAAAATAAAGCGGTTTCTTAAATGAGCATGCAATACCATGTGCATGCTGCCATCTACTGCAGTTATAAGAAATAACAGTTACTAAGCATATTCTTTAGCAATTGCATATATATATATATAGAAAGAGAGAGAGAGAGAGAGAGAGTATTCTGACTACTTATTTCCTCCAGTCTCTTTATCTCACTCCCCTTTTCCAAGATTCATGACTTTTTAAATTTATTTTGAAACCTATCGCATTTAACCACAGCCCTCTGTGTCACCACTGATTTGTGATTGTTCATGGGAGTCTGGTGGGCTCCCTGATGACTAAACAACTGAGCACAATAACTCCCATCTCTGAGACTCTATCTGGAGCCATCAGTTCATCCCTGAGGCAGTGTCTGCTGAGTCCTTCCTTGTCCCCTGAATGGCCCATTCTTTTACAGACTCAGTGTGTAAGAAACCTCAGCTAGTTTCAGTTCATGATTACAACTGCTGTATTTTGCACAGAAGCTGACATTTCACAGCCCTTCTCGCCCTCTTCCAGCTCTTACATTCTTTCCATTCCCTCTTCAACAGTGTTCTATGAGCCTTATGGGCAGTATGGTAGGGGGTTGTGCAAATGTCTCATTTAGGACTGAGCAGTCAGTTCTCACCTACTATCAGCAATTTGTGCTGAGGTTCAAACCCAAGGCCTCACATAAGCGAGGAAAGGCCTCTACCACACTCAACCCCACCCCCCACTTTTTTTTACTATGCTTAATTTATAACACCAAAATCTTTAAAAACTTGAAAAGCCTAATACTATTATAATTACAATTACAATGTAAACAGTTGTTACAGTATAGATTCCCTGAAGGATACATTAATTTGTGCTGAGGTTCAAACCCAAGGCCTCACATAAGCGAGGAAAGGCCTCTACCACACTCAACCCCACCCCCCACTTTTTTTTACTATGCTTAATTTATAACACCAAAATCTTTAAAAACTTGAAAAGCCTAATACTATTATAATTACAATTACAATGTAAACAGTTGTTACAGTATAGATTCCCTGAAGGATACATTCATTTTTTTAAATAATTTTATTCTTTATTGAGCTTTCGAGATTTTCATACAATATGGTTTGATAGTATTTAGATCCCCTCCCCTATCTTCACTCCTCCCACTGCCCCCACCCAATTTAATGTACTCTGATATATAGAGAGAC